CTTGTCACAATGTATTTCAATTATTATTGCCTTTAAGGCATGAAATAGCCATCTAGACACCTTAGATTTTAAATTTATAAGGAATAATTCATATAGTATTATATTCTTAACACACTGGAGAAGGAAAAGAAACGGCATGTAGAGGAATTTTTTTTTCCAGAAAAAATGACATTTGTATTTTGGTAGGAATTGAATTGAATCTATAGATAATACTGAGTAATCAGAACATGTTAATACTACTAATTCTTCAAATATATGAACATTGGGTATTTCAGTGATTTGTGTTTTCCCTAATTTCTTTAAATAATGTTTTGTAGTTGACAATATTAAGACATTTTATTTCCTTACTTAAGTTTTCTAAGTATTTATATCAATTTGATGATATTGTGAGACTTTTTAAAAATTTATTTCCTATATAATTTGCACAGCTGAGGTTTTTTGTTTTTTTTTTTGTCGGTCATGGGGCTTGAACTCTGGGACTGAGCGCCGTCCCTCAACTCTTCAGCTCAAGGCTAGCGCTCTACCACTTGAGCTACAGCAACACTTCTGGTTTTCTGAGTGTTTATTGGAGATAAGAGTTTCACGGACTTTCCTGCCCGGGATCGCTTTGAACAGTGATCCTCAGATCTCAGCCTCCTGAGTTGCTAGGATTACAGGCATGAGCCTCCAGCACCTGGCCACTGCTGAGTTTTGTGTTGTTACATTTGTATTGATTCTGAACTTTTAAAAATCCTCTAACGTATTTAATTGCTTTAGAAGCTCTAACTTTTTGTAGAATTTTTAGAATTTCCACGTATCAGAAAACCTACAAATAGATTATTTTACTTATTTCTGACTTGGGTGTCTTATTTATCTTGCTTAGTTGTTCTTCACATCAGCAAACAGACATCCTTGTCTGGTTCAAAATGAACCTAGAGGATATTATGCTAAGGGAAGTGATTGATTCACAGAAAAACAAATACTGTATGATTCCACTGTGAAACATAGAACATCATTAATTCATGGGAAAAAGAAATACAGTTGTGAGGAATTGTGAGTAAGCTAGTATACAGAATGGCTAGACTAGTTCACAAGTTCACGTAGCTTCTTAAAAGCATTAACAGAGCAATTAAATGACAGAATTTCTTTTTTAAGGCTGAGTGATATTCCACTGTGCACAATACATAATTTTGTCTTTATCAGATACCTGATAATGAACACCTTAAGTTATTTTTAAATCAGCAGTAATTGGTGAACATGGGAGTTCATATATATCTTCAGCTTAATATTACCACACCAAAATGATGAAATAAGTGAGATAATAATTTTGTGTTAATTTGATTTAATCATTCTATAACATAAACATTTCAAATTCACATTATTCCCCAAGGATATATAATACAGACAATTATTATGTTTCAATTAATTATAAAATAAGGAATTGCAATGACATCTGAAAGTCTGTCATAAATTTTCTTCATGCTTTTTAGTTCAGACTAAAATGAACAAATAGTGCCCTCTTCTGTCTTGTGACCATAATGGTATTCCATGTTAGATGCCTTCTCTAAAAGTTTTAGTCCAAGAACAAATTTGAATTTAAATGGAGACATCAAAATTTAAATGAATTTTTTAAACAAAAAAAAAATACCAAACTTTGATCTGAGGAAGGATAGGATAATAAATTCAGAGGGGGGGGGGGGGGAACAACCAGGACAAACTTTGGTTGTATTCCAGCAAGTCTGGGGGTTAAGGTTTTAAAGCATCTTTGGGTCCTGTGAACCTCATGACAACTTTCGGGGTGAGGGGCTATTTTGACCACATTTTGTTCTTAGAAAGTTTAACAGAGTATACACATTACCAAAAGTATCCCAAATTTAGGCATGCTAAATTCAGAATTAAGTTTGCCTTATTCAACAGTGCAGGGTCTTTCTGTTATATAATACTCCCTTTGCAATAGTTAATCTTCTCCTTCACAGGCAGAATAAAGGGGACTAGAAAGACACATGAACATACAAATACACACACATGCGTCTTTTGATATGTTAAACTTTATTTTCATATACTAAGAATATGCAAACTTTATTTTCATATACTAAGAATATGCCTCACCACTGAGCTATACCTCCCGCTTGCAGATCTTTATCTCTCCAAACTTACTAGTTGAGGAAAAATTTGCTTATCTTTGAATTATTTTATTTGCATAGTTGATCAACCCTTAAGAAAAATTACACTTTCTATTATTTGTCTTCAATATTGAAATAGTTGGTGCAAAACCACGAAATAATTCCAGAATCCCCATCTCTTTCTTGCTTTCCACTTATTTTAAACCCATACACTAAATATTTCACTTTTTAATTTTCATAATACCCTCCAACCTCTTACTTTACAGAACGCAAAAATGCTGACAGCAAGTGTTTTGAACACTTTCCCAACCATTTTCCTCATGAAAAGAAGAGGTCAGTTTGTGTGGCTTTGCAAAGTAAACATTAGTTCCTGTTAAAGACAAAAGAACAGAAGTATGTGGGCGTAATTGTTAGTCTTATCTCTTTCTATAGCATCACCAACAAAATGGTACTTGTGACTTCTGACAGCAGCTGTTGCTCTTTGTGTTTTGTTAACTTACTTATTTTGGAACTGAATAATATATTGGAAAGAATCTGCAAATTATGTATCATTATATAATAGATTAAGACTGAAGTAAAAGTCTGCAGGCATTTACAATCTACATGTTAGAACAGGGCCACCAGAAAAACCTTCAATTGTGAAACAACCAAACAGAAGAAAAGAACTTTGAGTAAGTATATTCATTCATATGAATGAATGATTAGTGATGTATATAATGATTAATGATGTATAAAGGAGGAAGAAGGCGAAGATGTTTCCTCAAGAATATTAAGGGACACAAGTGGTTTTTTTCTTTCTTGTTATTGTATTTAAAATGTACTATGTGATTTTTTGGTTGCTCTTGTATGTTCTTCCCCCATGGTATAACCTCTTTTTTTCACTCTATTTGATGTTGGTGCCCTGAATCTTGTATATACATTTTTCTGATTTGGGGAGGGGAAGAGAAATAACAAAATGCAGAAATAAGGATACAGGTTGACCCATTGTAACAATGAGATGTACAAGAAACTATATTGAAAATGAACTTTACAACTTGTGGCGGGGGAGGAGGGAAGGGATGATAGGGGAAAAACAAAGAAGGAGGTAACAATACTTGATAGGAAATGTACTCATTACCTTACTCATGTAACTGTTAACCTCTCTGTACAGTATTTTAACAATAAAAACATATAAAAAAGACTATTAAGAATACACAAAGTGGCTCATAATGAAATGTATACTTTTTGGACTGGGAAGGTGGCTCAGTGGTAGAGCGCTTGCCTTGCATGCTTGAGGCCCTAGGTTCAATTCCTCAGCACCACATAAGCAGAAAAAAAATGCTGGATGTGGCGCTGTGGCTCAAGTGGTAGAGCGCTAGCCTTGAGCTGAAGAGCTGAGGGACAGCACCCAGGCCCAGAGTTCAGGCCCCACGACTGGACCCAAAAACAAAAGAAAAGAAAACAAAACAAAACAAAATAAAAATAAATGTATACTTTTGTAGACATTGCTTAGTAGTGAGCTCCTGGCATGAAAAGAATGATAAATTTTCTCTGTGATCACTGCTGCTCATCATTGTAAGAGGGAAATACTCTGAAATGTTAACATCCAGATACCAAAAGCCAGCACATTGAAGGCCTTGACAAGAGGAAAGATTAATACCTGGAACAAGTCTGTTAAAAATAAATGCAAGAAGGCATCTCTGACCAACTCAAGTGTTTGGGAGCAACAAAAATCCTGGCTAAAAATTCATGTGGTGAGATGAATCTAAAACGATTGGTGAACAGGAAGTTGGCAGTTTTGTTTTATAATATCAACTGGTATTCAACCTCTTCCTGAGTTTAGAGTGATCCCCAGGTAAGAAAAGCTCTCGAGGGGCTGGAAAGGTGGCTCAGTGGTAGAGTGCTTGCCTTGCATGCATGAGGCCCTGGGTTCGATTCCTCAGCACCACATAAGCAAAAAGCCGGAAGTGGTGCTGTGGCTCAAGTGGTAGAGTGCTTGCCTTGAGCTGAAGAGCTGAGGGACAGTGCGCAGGCCCAGAGTTCAGGCCCCACGACCGGACCCCCCGCCCCAAAAAAAAAGAAAGAAAAAAAAAGAAAAGCTCTCCGGCAAGTGTGCCCATTCCCAAAGTACCTGTGCAAAGGAAAGAGTAAGAGAAATCAGAACTTGTCTGAGGAGGCAGATCGTTAAAAGCCATGTGTCTTTCCAATGAAGTCCCATGGTTATATTCTACTTCGTGCTTGATTGTTTTTCTTTAAAACCTGTTCCCTGGGTTTGTGGCCAGGGTGTTGTAACAAGGAAATCATAGTATAAAGTTACACCTGTATTATAAGGTGAAACAATGATTCGTTTCTGTTAAAATATTTTTTCTGTAATTGCAATAAGGATGGAGACATTCAAAGTGATGATCAAGCTTGAGAGAATGAAAAAATGTTGAACTGGTCAAATTGGAATAAAACAAGTAAGAACATTGGTGTGAAATACCTCGCTGTAAATACAGTGAAATGTCAAGTGAGGACCAGTGGTGTTGATCTGTGCTGCTGCCATTGTGACTGTCACAGGTATTTTTCTTCATTCATTGCAAAGCACACGTGTCAAGTTATGAAGAAATACCTGGTCCTTGCCACACAGAGTAAACAGGCCAACAATTAGCTTCAATTAGCTTCAACAATTAGCTTCACTGAACAATTACACAATAAAGAATGATAAGCATTGTGACAGGAAAAGGGACAAGGACATCCTTTGAGTTGGATTTGTACAGACTTTTGGCTTCCATTGCATTTGGTTATGTAAATAGGAGTAGAATTGCTCGATTGTATGCATACTCTACAGTTATCATGTTGAAATACTGCTAGACTATTTCCCAAAGTGACGGCATCATTTGACATTGCTCTCAGCAATGCTTTGCTTTCTTTTTATAGACCCCAGAGGAACTGGAGGATATTTCTGACCTGGAAGAAGATCATGAGATCCGCAGCCACACCAGTATTCAGACGGAGGGAAAAACTGACCGGGTATGTGTCTGTCATATCCTCAAAGACAAATCTGTGTTTTATCTCTTAGGGGCCTGACTTGTTCCTTGCCAATTTTGGCAGCCTTTGTCAGGTGGGACTTAGGAGTTCAGAGCACAGGAAGAAAAGTCTTAGAATATGGGACCAGAATCATTAGGGAACATGAGCACACAGTGAGCCCATTTTGAGTCAGGTAGTGAATCACTCCATATTGCTTTGTCTTTATAGGAGTCATGTGAATATAAAATTGAAATATGAACGTTTGTTTAGGGTAGAAAACAAGGCCAAGAACTCATAAATATACCCTGAAATTCTAGTCAAACGCTTTCTGACCGAGACTCTCTGCTTTTATTCCCATTCAGCATCTACCAACACAAACACACACACACACACACACACACACACACACACACACACACACACACACACACACACACACACACACACAGCATAGCCAGTTCTATATAATGTTAATTTTGATTTCTGAAGTGCTCTGGACTTCCTTTTGCTCACATCCAAGGCATGGAACTCTGTAAGAGTGTGGCATTCTAGCCACCGATACCTTGCAAACATAGACCCCACTATAACTTGTATCCCAAATCTACACCATAGAATATCATCTCCAAGACTGCTTGCCAATCCACTGAACCACTTAACTCTTCCTGTTCTTGGATGAGTTAGAGTCTATCTGTGTTCCATCACTTATATAAAGTAAGAATACAAATAATACCCACTAGATGAGAGATATTGTGGAAGTTCACTTGAGTTCATTAACAGAGCATTTACCCAGTGTCTAGTTTCTAGGAGTTCTTGGTAATTGTTAGATACTATTAGTGGCAGCAGCCAAGATATCATCATCATCATCATCATCATCATCATCACCACCACCCCCATTACCACCACTATTGCTATTAGTTGAGTTCAGTACCACAACATTTGGAGTAGAAAGCAAATTTCAAGCATTTTTCTTGTGTCACGGTCTATCTGATTTTGGCACACTTTTAGACAGAAAAGCTTGGGCACACTGTTTCTGTAGCCCTTTTGTGACATCACCTCATTAGAAACAATTCAAATAAAGACCTGTTTGGTATACCTCCATTCAGAAATGCTTGTGAGTCACATGCCCATAAATAACAATCTTGGTGTTTATAAAGTATGCTGTACTATACCGTTTTATGGAAATTAATGTGAAACAAACTTTAGGCTTTGCCAGATTTTTAGCTGTAATACTTTGAGCTTCCATTGCCCCACAATAAAAAATAATGTAAATGAATTTTTAAAAAATCTAATTTTAAACAGAGGAGTCTGTTTTTATTGCCTTCTTTCAATCCCATAACATGTGTACCTGATATGTTTTTCATGTACAAATATTTTATTTCTGATTTGTTCCTATTCGTCCACTTTCACAGAAGTGAGTGCTTAAAACCGAAAACTGCATCTTATGAACAATAATACTAGCATTTATAAGCTATTTGTGATTATAGCTTGCTATTATTTTGTAAGTTATTACAAAGTATAGGAAATAAGGTGACATATGGTGGTGGATTCTGCAGGGAAATTCTGTGTTTTCACTCATCATATTGCTTTGAATTCATATTGATCAACACACAAAAAAATGTGTTTTTCACAAAGTTGTACTTTTTCTCTAATATTAGTAATAGGAATGTCCATGTTTATTTTTCCTTTGGGGATGATATTCTACACATTTCACAGATAATATTTGACAATGGGTTGGGTGTGCCAATGTCCTGACATTCTTTTACTTGCTGGTTATTTCTATTATACTTCAGTCCTCCATAAACCAGTTCATTTTAGAAACTAAGGTACATAGCATCTGGATAGAATTTCCTTCAAATTGGTCTAGCATTATTATTAAAAGATGAATTTGCACCAGAACTGGAAACACAATTTTCTGAGTGTGAATTTTGTTCAAGATAAAGTAAGAAAGCACTATCTCTGGAATAGATTGTGGGTAGAAGGGCTTATAAAGCAATCAATGAGAGGAAGTTTTATTAAAAGGGGGATCTTTTTAGAAGATTGACATTAGAACAAATATGCTTGGCTTCTCATTCTAACTCATTCCATGTAGGCAATGTAGCCTCAGGAAATATCTTAAAATTTCAGACACTTCAAATATAATCTGAAAAGTTAGAATAATACCATACTTTCTCACAGTGCCTTCAAATAGGAAATGTATATGAAAAAGATTTATAAGTTTATATAAGCTAGGGTGCCCAGTGGCTCATGCCTATAATCCTAGTTATAGTCAGGAGACTGACATCTGAGGATCATGATTCAAAGCTAGCCCAGGCAGGAAAGTCTGTGAAACTCGTATCTGCAATTAATCAGTAAAAATCTGGAAGTAAAGTTGTGGTTCAAATGGTAGAGCACTAGGCTCAAGTGAAAAAGGTAAGGGAAAATGCCCACAGCCTGAGTTCAAACTGTCTCTTACCATGATTTTTATTTGTACTTTTATTTTTAGTCTATATGACCTGCTGCTAGGTGACTACTGGTTGTAACTTGCCAGGTTGATCCTGTCCATGGTTCTGGATCTTCTAGAACTTTTACAGAAACCACTGTTCTCATTTTTGTGAAGGTCACCCTGAATTTATGCATTCTAGATCTTTGCTTCACTGTGTACAGTTCTCAGACTATGTCACTCAATTGAGATACCTGTCTGAGTCATAGTAATTCAGAGATGCTTGAGCCTACATGACTCAATTATTTGATAGCCGTTCTTACAGAAACATCTGGAAGTTTAAAAGGAATTGTGATGATCTTGACACATTCTAGTAGTCAGCTTGACTACTTTCTACTGTTAGCAATATCCTATCTAGAATGATAAGTCATATCAACTTCCTGCCTCAAGGATTCTCTGTAATTTTGTGGTAACCTTTTGGCATGCCTTTGTTTTTATAATCAAACACCTCCACCTCTCCTATGAGACAGCAACATTCCACAGGTAACTTCTAACTGATATCTCTTTCAGTTTTAGGATGGTCAATTCTGAGTATAGTTTCTAAAGGCTTTCGAAGGGTCCTTCTGGGATCAAGCTTAAATTTCTATAATGGGGACCAGCTTGATCATCTATCTTTGGATTGAGTCTCATTCCTTTCATGATTCATTCTTCCCAAGCTATTGGTTCTGTTCAGTATCACCAATTTATCCAGTTTGATAGCTTTCCTTGACACTGTACCTATAACAAAGATAACAACATTGTATACATTTTTCTTGGTTCTGATATTAGCTGATCCTATTTTTATCTATTTCAGTATTGCTAATATAATTAGTGAGAGCTGAGATTTACATAACTTTACTAGAAAGTACAAGATATGGTAGCATGAATTTTTAACTAAAATATAAATCAGTCCGCATTGCAACAAACCTGATATGTCATTAGTGAAATAAGGAAAAGAGGGAGAGAGAGAAATCTCAAAGTATGTCATAGATGTGGTACCTTAGAAAGAGAAGACACAAAGATAATAAAAGATAATTATCTTGTGGTACAGATAACCCTAATAATAACTCATAACTCTCCTACTGTGTACCTAACCTGTATGTCTATTATAACACGTTTCATTCATTCTCAAATCTAAAGATGGATGACCAGGAAAGATGGCTCAAATCTTTCCTAACCCAAATCATCTAACCAGAACAACTATCATGTTTCAGTATATTCTCTCATCTCTATCAGATATCCTATATACTTAATAATCTCATGTTTCTTATAATTGATAGAATGATGCTATGTCATTTAGTCTCATACCTATCTTTATCCTATTCAGAATTGCTAATCGTTGCCCATTTGATAGAGTGTATCCTTTTATACATTTCACAAGCTCCATCAATTTGAGAAAACATTGTAAGACTCTAAAGAGGTTTCTGTGGAGAATTTTTTGAATAGTCATGCCAAACTCAGCATGCACTGTACAAGACACATGTATAAGTACCTTTTTACTCATTGCTCTTATGGAGGAGTGAACACTTTATTGGTTCTCAGGTTATGCAGAATCTGCTGTATTGGACATGGGCTAGAACTAATTTCAAACACTATTTAGCAATGGACTGACTGTTATTTATTATCATTTTATTTTCTGCTTTTCACTCCTGGTGGCTTTGTCTCAACATCATCTGTTATTGCTGTCATCAATGGAAAATGCTGTTGGGCAATGTAAAGGTCTGTAACTAACAAAAATTGAGTTAGAGTCCATGGTCAATGAAAGAAAAGTATTAAAAGACCAATAGTGTATGTTTGATAAAGTGACAATGAACCAGTAATGATTATCTTCATTATTAAACATGAAGTCTGATGCGGTGATTATATCCACTGGCTGTCACTCCACTGTGGGACAGCGTTGTATATTTAAGATTCACTGAATATCTTCACAGAGCTTAATGTTTATTCTGTCTCTGTTTCCAGGACGGATTAAATATGCATCTCTTCTTTTAAAAACTCAAATTAGAAAGAGGCATTGAAATAGACTCCTGTTAATGCAATCAAATTTCTAACTTACTGATAAATAAGATTTTCTATACATCCTAAAAGCTTCTTTAAAATTATTCGAAATATATGCCTAGTCATATGTTTTTTTCTTTAATCTGATCAGTGCCAAGTATTATTTCACACACTAGAGTTTACAGCACATCTTCAAGTTAGAATCTTCTTTCACACCCATTCTGGAATTTGTGTTTTGGCTTATTTTCTTTTAATTTTAACTAGATAATTAGATTCGATAGAACTCACATAGCTGATGCCAGTCGTGGTAAGTGGGTCCAATTCCCAAGATTTCTGGCTCCAACTATGTAACTTCAAGGATAGCACACTTGTAACCTTGGGTAGATTTTCATCATGCTCTGTTTTCATTGCTCTACTATTTATACACTGCACAGAATTGTGTTGAAATAACAGTGTACTTAGAAAATGATCACAAAACTTAATAAGTATAAAACTTAAAATGTCTCAGTCCTACTATTTTCAATCAATAAAATCAGGTTGGTTACAA